TAAAGAGTGTAAATTATAAAATTAATTTGAGTTTGAAATGGTAACTACTTTGAGTTTTTTTTTAACTTTAAAATTAAATATTTAAAATATAAAATTTTATTGATTACGGTGTTAATTATAGAATAAATTAAAATTTAAATTTGAACTTCATTTAGGAAGAAAAATAAATAAAACAATAATAAAAAAGGTAAACTGTAAAATACCTGTTTCTGAGAATGATTTATTGAGAAGTGGCGGGGGTTAACGAAGAAGGAATAAATCTAGCATAATCTCAATTTCTTTCGGGAATGCACTAGACTATTATGCGACTCTAAAGAAATATTACTCATTGTCATAATTTGCATCTTCAATATTAAGGTGTTCCTTAATAAAATAGGAGTATTTAATAGCATACTCAGATCGTAATTTCGTTAAGGTCAGGGTGTGAACAGTAGAGGGTGTATAAGAGGGGTCAAGTGTCTCTTTCATGGCAAGATAACGACCTACTCAGTTAGAATTCACATAAGAACTTAAACCTTGATTGTACTCTGATCTTAATATCTCTATTATTCTTAATCTGTTCTCAACTTTAGCAATCTCATCCTCTATTGATTCTCCAATTGAAATAAAGATAGCCCCTCGGCTTTGTAGTTCATGTAAATCTCTTAAATCGTTATGTAATTTAAGAATGCTTTTTAACCTGTAGTCATTATAGGAGCTCTCAAGTAATGGCATTCTTAGTTGATTGTCTACAGCTGAACTATAGATGTCTTTCTCAATGGCAAGAGCAGCTTCTTCTTTATAGGCAGTCACTAGTCAATTATTTTCATCTGTCCATTTTATTCTTAACATATTTGTGGCTAAGTTTCAATTTTCTGAGATACTTTTTAAGAAGCTAGGAAGTAAGTCTTTGAATTCCGAACTACTTCAAAAATACTTAGGAAGTTCCTGTTCAACTAAGCTTTGACCATTCTCTACTAAAGAATTTAAATAAGAAGTTAATTGAATTTTCCCAAAATATTTGTCGATTGCACCTAAATCAGGCATACTATTAGATCTTTGTAATGAATTATTATTATCTTCATTAAAA